ACTCTCTCTCTCTCTCTCTCTCTCTCTCTCTCTCTCTCTCTCTCTCTGCTATATATATCTATATTACCTCATCTGAATCGATTCTATTCAATTCTGTCCAATCGATTTGTCTATAGTGCGCTATAGAATTTTGTATTTTGTATTTTGATCCGGGCAAAAATGAAATCTCTAATAACACACAAACGGACAACATTACTGACTTAACAATGATCCAAAAAGGAAGTAGCTTAAACAATAAATAGGTCGATGATGATGATGATGATGGGTGTGGAGATTGGATATAGAAAGTGAAAAAAAATGATAATTTTTTTTTTTTGCAAATTTCCCCCCATTTCTTCCCCCCTAGTTGTTATTATTGAATTCAGAAGAAATGATGATGATTTGGATTGGATTACAAACCGAAGATTCTCTAATTCTATACCACTACTACTGCTGCTGCTATTACCATTTGCATAGTTTCAAATTCTGCTACTATTATTACTACCACTACCACTACCACTACTGCTATATATGATTCTTTCGATTTCAATTTTTTTTTTTTGTTTCTAACATTCGATTTGTTTTTTTTCCCTGTTTCGTTTTTTCGTTTCGTTTCGTTTTAATGAAACACGACAATAACCGAGAACTTGTTTTTTCACCGAACAATCTGAATGACAAATGAAATTTGAATGTTTTTTTTTGTTTTGAAAAAATGAAAATTTCATTTTTATTGAACTGAAATGATAATTTAAATCAAACAAAATTTGGCTCATTAAAAGAATATCAAATTGGTGTTTTGTGTTTGTTTGTTTTTTTTTGGTGTTTTGTGTTTATCGTTTTCAAAGAAAATTATTTAATTTTTCGGTTATTATTATCCGCTATTTTTGTTTCGGTGAAAATTGAATTTTTTTTTTGAAAATTGTTTTTCTTTTTTGCTGGATTCTCGTGCTTTTCTTGGTGTTTTCGTGCTTGTGATTGTTTTTGAATTGAATAACATTTGGTTTTCAGTCTTCAAATTTGTTTCTTCTTTCTTTCAAAATAATTCAATTTTTTCCATCTGTTTGTGTATGTAAACTACGGTATGTTTCTTCTTCTTTCCCCCCCCTTTTTTCATATATCTAAGTTTCAAATTGGGTGACAAAGACGACGACGGCGACGACAAAAATCCATTTTAAATCCCATTACAGAAATTATATCACAGGAAAAACAAACATAGAGGAAAAAACAAACGTAAACAACGCATAAGACACACATAAACACACCAGATATAGGAATATGACAATATTGTGTCCAAATACAATTAAACAACAACAGAAACTTTTTTCCGTTTTTCCAATCAATCGATATCAATTCGATTGGCTGTTGTTGTTTTTCTCCTTGTACAGTACTATCATCGACCAACTTTTTTTTCTCGATATTTTTTAATGTTTTGCGCCATTTTTTTTTCCTAAATATGAATTTTACCAGATGTAAAGATTGATAGATTTTCAATCAACCAAAAAGAAAAAAAAATAACATTTTTAGGATTTTTTCAGTTGTTTTTTTTGTGAAATTTTTCAGTTCAGTTCAGTTTAGCCAAGTTCAGTATTCGACGCTATTCATCCATGTTTTGCCATTTGATTACATTATTATTATTATTCGCCTTGTTTATTCTCCCTGTAGCCTTTTGGTGTTTTTTTTTCTCACATTTGATGATGTGTAGATTTTTTTTATTTAGATTTTCCAGTGTTGTTGATGTGTTTACATTGAATTTTCAAGCAAATATACATTCTGCATATATTTTATTCATCATTTGAATTTGAAAATAAAAAAACAAACGACGACGACGACAATAATAATAAAAACAAAAACAACAACGATGATGATGACAAGGACAACTTGAAAATAAAATGAACTAAACAACGAATCGAAAACAACAACAAAAACAAAAAAAACATCAAAACATCATATAATAATTATTATAAAATCACGTATTTTCATTTCAGACAGAAAACAAGCAAATTGTATTCATATAAAAAACACTTTGTTTTTTAGTTTGTTTTTTGTTTTGATTTTGGTTCTTGTTGTTGTTTTGTTTTGTTGAATAAGAAAACAAAACAATCATCATATGACTTGATTATTAGTGAAACTTGAAAATGGATAATTTCCTTTAAGAAATTTAATGGTGGCTTCGATTCAAACAAACAAACCAAAAGCGAAATAAAACAAAGCAAAACATCGTTATCATTATTGTTTTGTTATTCTGTTTTCAACCATAATTCTTTCTTTTGGTCATTGTTGTTGTTGTTGTTGGTGAATATTAAGAATGTCATAATCATCATTTACTGTTGCAAAAAAATGAATTATTCTAACAAAGAAAAAACAAAAATCTTCTCTATTAATAATTTACAGAAAAAACAATAACAACAACAACGAAAAGAACAAAAAATTCTTACCCACCATATAGATTTATGTTTATGCTTGTTTGTTTTGTTTCTGCTGGGTAAATATATCTGACATTCTTTACTTTTTGTTGTTGTTGTTGTTGTCTATCAGTTCTGTCAATGTTTACGTGTGAAACTGAAACAAAAATAGTAAAATTTTTCAATTCGAAACCCAACCAAACAACGGCAATCATTATCTCAAAAACGACATTTTTTTCACCAAAAACAATATCAAATTGAAATTAAATCATAAAACACGAAAAACAACACAAAAACATTGGTGATACAAGGGAAAGCATTTCAACAGAAACAAAATTCTGCTTCTGTCATCATTTATTATTGGCTATATTTTTACTTCAATTCTTCAATTCTTTCAAAAAGTCCCTTTGTTGTCGTGGTTGTTGTCATTATTTTCTATTTTGTTTTTGGTTCATATTTTTAACATTTTTGAATTATATATTTTTTTTCTCCCCTACAGAAAAACCAAACGATAGATTTTTCTCTTTTGTTTTTCTGTAAAAAAAGGAGAAAACATTATATAATATGGCCAATAATTTAACAACATTAGAAGAGAATAAAGAAATGGATTCAACAAAAATTTTAGCTGAAGCATGTGCTGCTGCAGCTGCAGCAGCAGCAACAACCGCCGCATCATCATCAACAAACGTATCTGTCGATGTACAATCGACAAATTCACCAACAAGTAGTGTATCACATCCACCAATACCTGTACCAACAAAAACACGTTCAATTAAAATAAATGAACAGATTGGTGATGTTCAAGTACATATTCAAGGTAAAAAATATATTTCTTTATTTTTTTTAACACAAGATTTACCAGGACAACAAATAGAAAAATCCATAGAATAATGAGAAAATTGCGTGTACACTTATTTTATCTGTTGAAATTCTTTTTTTTTTCCATTTAATTCCAAAAATGACAGGTGAATTGGATGATAAGAAAGCAATTTTTCTTACTGTACATGATATTGGATTTAATCACAGGTTAGTCTTATATCAAAATGGAAAAAAGAAAGAAGATCAACATTTTTATTATTTTTTCACTTTTCTTTAGATCAATGAAAGATTTTGTCGATCTAGATTGTGGTAAGTAAACATTTTTTTTCTTCAATGTATCTTTTTTTGAATCAATCAATTTTCTTTTCTGCTTTTCTGCTTTGTTTTTTGTACACTAAAAACATATTATTATTTTTAGTATCAGAAATTCGTATGCGTTCTGTGTTTATTCATGTTGATGTACCGGGACAACATGATGATGCTAAAGATTTGGAACATTTTCCTACTATTCAACAAATAGGTAAGTGAAAAATAACAAACAAACAAACTAATGAAAATCATTCAATTGTGAAAATATTGTGTGTGTTGTTGTTTTTTTGGTGAACAACATTTCCGTTTTCATGAAAACATCCCAAAAGTGGTTTTTTTTTCTGTATTGTTACATTGATTTTAGTTTAATTTCCGTTAAAATTTCTAATGTTTCTTTTCTTGTTTTCTTGTTTTCTGTTCAATTTCTATTTTCCAATTTCCGATTTTTCCGATTGATTCTTTGTGAACTTTATTTATTAATGGATATAAAATCATAATCATTTCATTCCATCTGATAATATGTGTTTTTGTGTTGTGTGTGTATGTGTATTGCTTCTTATGTGAAAATAGGCGAAGAAGTGCTTCTTAAAGTACTTGATGAATTAAAAATACAATTATGTGTTGGTATTGGTGATGGTGCTGGTGCTAATATATTAGCACGTTTTGGACTTGCTCATCCCGAACGTTTACTTGGTTTAGTATTAATTAATCTTGTTTCATCTGGTGTTGGTTTTCTTGAATCGATAAAGGAAAAATTTTTTTCAAAACGTCGTAGCTCACAACAATTATGTCCAGAAGAAATTGTTACAATGCATAAGGTATGTTTTTATTATTCTTTTATTTTTAATTCCAACCAAACCAAACACAAACAAAACTAAAATAATCCCGAAAGATCTTTATAGATAATCAGATTTGATTCTTTTATTTTTCCCGTTTGTTTTTTGTTTTTCCGTTTTCTGAATCAACGAAAGCAGTATATTTTACATTATAATTTGATTTTCATTATTAAAAAAAATGATCATTTTGAATCATCATCATTATAATAATCTATTTCCAATTATTGTCCATTCTCTGTTTTTTTTCCTATTATTTCATTTGTTTTCTTCTGTTTGTTTTAGTCTTAGTTTAGTTGTTTTATGTAGGTGTTTTTGTTTGTTGTTGTTTGTTTGTTTGTTTGTTCGCATAAGCGAAATAGAATCATTTTTCAAATATTCTTCGTTATTCATCGTTATTAGTAGTTGTTGTTTCTATTACATTTTCCCCCCCTTGATAACACTTAATTTTTTTTTGTTTCATTACAAAAAGATTATTTGTTTGTGTGTGTGTGTGTGGTTTGAAATTTTCCCTCTCTTTCTCTCGCTCTATATTTTCGTAATGATGACGCTAATCACCATTTTATTATCTTGTTTTCTTTGTTTTTTTGTTTTGTCTTTATTTGTTCATTCATTCGCATTTATCATCATATATAAAAAATTATTATTACAAACAAACAAACAAAATAATGATAATAATGGCTGAACAAATATATTTTATAAATGAGAGGTTTTTTTTCATTTATTATATTTTTTTGTTTTGTTTGTTTGTTTGGTTGTTTTTTATTTTGTCACATACGATAACTTGTTTATATTAAAAACTGTAAATGTATATTATTATAATCAAAATATAGCTTGGAAATACAGCCGGTGATGGTCTTAAATATTTGGTCGATAATTATAGTAGCCATATAAAAAAGATTAATTCAACTAATCTACATAAATTTATGTCTGCCTATATGAATCGTAAAGAAATTGTTGATCTTGGTAATTTGGATATATTATTGGTTACTGGTAATAAATCACCATTTGCTGCTGGTGTTGAACATATTTATTCTAAATGCGATAAACAAAAAACATCATTACTTAAAGTGGATAATTGTGTGGATGTTCTTAGGTAATTAATTAGCAATAACAATTTAGTTTATCATTTTTTAAAAAAAATACAAATTTTTTTTTCTTAAATCAAACCAAAAATAACCAGTCAATGTCCAGAAAAATTTGCCCAAAGTCTTCTGTTGTTTGTTAAAGGATTGGGATATTTGACTTCATTACAACTGCCCGGTATTACACATGGAGGTATGATTAATAATATAAAACAAATTTTTGTGAAAAAAATATATTTATTAATTTTGTTTTTGTTTTCAAATGAAAATTCGGTATTCAACCACCACCTGGATTTATATTCAATAATGGCGTATGGAAATCTATGATATTTTTATTATTGTTGTTTTGAAAATTTTTTTTGTTTGCATATCTGTATTCAATCAATGGGAAAATATTTTTTGATTATTAATAATTTTCCTCCCTTTCTCTCTGTTATTATTATCATTGTTATTTGAATTGAATATGACAAACAAACAAACAAAAAAAAGGCGATACACCGCCCAGTAAATCAAGCCTAGCTGCCATTGGACGACGTCGCACACTTTCCATGGAAGAATATGTAAGTTTTTGGCTTTGTTTTGGTTTGGTTTTAATCGGGTAATCATTGAAATCATTTTTTTTCTAATAAATCTCTATATATATAGGATATACCTCGTATGAGACGTCTATCATTGACCAAGTGAGTGTTTATCATTATTCGTTTTCTTATCCAAATTCTTATTGTCCAAAAAAAATTCCTAATTCTTTTTTCAACCAAAAAAAACTAACAAAAAAACTATCAAACTTTTTTTTTTCTTCTGAAAATCCTAGAGATGCACGATAAAAATCAAATCAGAATGATGATGATGATGATGATGAAAAACTAATCAAGCAAAACGCCCAAGATCCCAATAATAATAATCCAAATACTTTGTTTCACAAACACACACACACATTGTTTCAATCATTCATTCATTCTTTCTCTTTCTCTCTTCTTCTTCTTCTTTTTTGTTTCTCAATATTAACCAAAAAAAAACCAATATTAATTGTACCAAACAACGAAAAACTATGATAAATTACAAAACCAAAAAAAAGTCAATCGACAATATCAAAATGAATGAATGAATGAATGAATCTGCCTCATCAATTCAATTCATTCAATAATCAATGGCCAATAATCAATTGATACATTAATTAATTAATTAATTATCATCAACAATCATCATCTGACATTTCAGTAATCAAATGATTTGACATTAAAAAAAATTCAAACAACAACAACAACAACCGAAAAACATTGAATTAATATGTTTTTTATCATCATTATCATCATCAATATCATATATAACATCGGAAAAAGCATCGAAAATTATCGATTATCGATTATTATCTGTCAATAATATAATCAATGAACAACAAACCAAAAAAAAAAAACAAGCCATAATTCAATATGAAAACATTCACATCAATGAACATCTATATCTTGTTACATGAATAATTCAATTTGAAACCAAAATTCATTCATTCATAATCATCATATTCGAAAAACTTCAAAGACAACTGAATGAAAAACCAAACTAAAAAAACCAAAAAAACAAATGTTTTTTTTTTGGTTTGGCTAACTTTCGTAAAATATCCTACTACCATCATTGTGGCCTAAATGAAAAACAAAAAAACAAAACAAAAATTCATTTGTTTGTTGTGCACTTGTTAACAACGAATCGTTGTTGAAACTTTTTTTTTTTTTTTTTTTTTTGTTCGTTTATTACACACATCATTATAATCCACATATTATTCATTCTTTTCTTTCTTATATAGATACATTATATTCTATATTCTGTTTTTTTTTCTCTCTCTCTCTTTGTGTGTGTTTGTTTTTGATTTTTAAAGAAAATTATTATTTCAATATTCTCCGTATATCACATATATATCAACAGCTACAGAATCTTATTATTCTCATTAATGGATAGAATTTTTTTCAACAACAAAAAAATCATGATAAATATTTCCTAATTATCAAACAACAACAACTTTTTTGATCATATTCAAGAAACAAAACAAGAAATTAGAAATTTTCTTTTCTTTTTTTTAAAAAAAAAACTTTTTTGTAGTTTCGTCGTGATTTACCCATGTTCAAAATGGCTACAAAGAAAATAATAACATTATTTAAAAACGATAAATATTATTATTACTATGCTTGTTCTCTTTGAACATTTTTATTTATAAATAAACAAACAAATCAAAAAACTTTAAAGTTTGATTCATATTCTTATATATAATATCGCACACAAAAAAAACACACACACTAACCGCCCATTATGATATAAACAAAAGTAAAAGATTATTTTGAATTACAAGTAAACCTCTCAGCAAATAATCATCAAAATAAAACGATGATTTTACTTTTAGAAGATTTTTTTCCGTTGAAATCAAACAGAATTTTTACGAATTTTTTTTCTTCTTTCTTTGTTCAATTTGTTAATTTCGTATTTTGATTTTTATGTTTATTTTTTTTTTGTTTCTCTCTTTTTGTTGTCTTGGATTTTAATTGTAAATTGATTGATCATTCTATCGATCGATCGATCGATTTGATTGATTCGATTCGATTAATCATTTATTTTAAATGTAGTTATTCTTTTATCATGTTTGTTTAATTTTCTGTTCTGTTTTCTGTTTTGTTTTGTTTTACTGTTTGTTCATCAGAGAAAAAAAAATTTCATAGCCATTATTATTATTGTTGTTATCATCAGACCTGACAAATTCGAAGAAAAAAAAACACAGAAACCGCACACACAACACACACACAGCAAAATTACCCAAAGAATTCATTATCAATCTATTATCAATGATTGATTGATTGATTGATTAATGAATAAAATTATTATAATTATTATTATTGATACTTGATTCTATATTTAATGATTATTGATTAAAAATTCGAATATAAATTGCACAAACCAAAAATCTATTAATCGATTAATTTGTTACTTGATTTGAAATGCGCGCATGCGCGAAAGTTCAAAAAAAATTACCTTAAATCAAATTTTGATTCAAAATATTAAAAAATGCATTTATTTTAAAGAAGAGAAAGAAAAAATATATATTTGATTCGATTTATGGAGGGTTAACATATATGGCCAAGAAATTTTACAATAATTTCTCTGTGTGTTTGGTGTTTGACTTAGCGTATAACTTATAATAAAAATATTATAATTAAACGAATGAATGAATGAATTTTAACAAAGTAAGTAATAATCAAAGTGTTTGTTTATAAGATTGTTATTTTGGCAAAAAAAATGGAAAGTAAGTGAAAAAATGGACAAAGAATCATCGATGTGAACCGTAAAATATTTGGAAACTTTAAAAAAAAATTGTTAATCAAATGTTTGAGATCAAACAAAATACACACACACAAACACTAAGATTCGACGTTTATCCGATGGTTACATCAAGTTTTTTTTTAATTAAAAAAAATTATGGCAATAAAATGGAATTGAATAAGATTAAAAGAAGAAGAAAATGACAAGAAATGAAAAATTCTGGATAAAAATAACGGAAAAAAATAGAATGGAATAGACAAAATCTCAAGTAGATTTTCATTATTATTATTAATCGAATGGCCAAAGTAAATTTATAAAGTAAAGTAAAGTTTGAAAAATAATAATAATAATAAAATATTTATATTTTGGATGGCTGAATATAGGGTTTGCAGAATCCAAAATCGAAAAAATCGAAATTGATGTTTGTTGATTTAATGATTTTGTTTGATTCTCTGTGTCTGTCCACAATGTTTGATTTTCTATTTTGGCTGAATATAATTGATTTTTTTGTTTTCAATGAAAATCTATTGTTTTGTTTTCTTTCAACGAACAGAGAGAGACAGAGAAAAAATTCAATCAATCAATCAATATATTCCACATAATTCAATGGTATAAGACCGGTTTTTCCATTCAATGTGCCTTCAAGCCATCCTGGTTCTCTTGATGGGCGAACTGTCAAATAAATAAATAATGAAAAAAAAGAAGAAAGAAGAAATTTAGTGTCAAAAGAAAAAGAGTAAAAAAACATTGTCAATACCATTAGTAATGATCATATTTGGTTGAAATGATAGTTCACAATCAGTACCACCAATACAAACATAACGGGTTCGTACTGTTCTACCAATAATCGATGATTGTTGTTGTTGTTGTTGTTGTTGTTGTGATGATGATAATGATGATGATGTTGGTTGTTGATTTGAAATACTTGCATATATTGATTTGTTTGGCTGTTGTTGATGATGATGGGAATGATTTATACCACCACTACTATTAGTACCATATAATTCATTGATTGGATCGGTTAATGTTGAACCAGTTTGATCAACAATGATTGGATTTCTATTCATTGCCATAGCTGATGATGTTGTTGTTGTTGTCGATTTGATTATTGTTGTTGTTGTTGTTGTTGTTGCCGGTGGCAATTTAAATGAAAATTGTGAATGTTCGGGTGTTGATGGTAATGATGTTGATGAAGATGATGAAAAATTTACCGGTCTTGATGATGGATGTTGTTGTTGTAATGATTGTACATTCTGTAATGATATTAAACCACTTTGCATAGACAAAGATTCATTTATTATTGGACTAAAATTATTTTTCGTTGTTGATGATGATTCTAATTTTGTTTCATTATTATTATCTGAACGTAAAAGATTTGTATAATTTGAATTTGGTGCCATTATACCAATACTAGTCATTGGTCGATTATAAATTAGATTTGAATTTAGTCCGGTTGGATTTTTTTTCTCACCACCACCACCACCACCACCAGTTAATAATGCTGTAGTTAATTCATTATTATAATGTAAATTTTGATAAGAAATTGATGGCTGTAATAATTGATTGGAATTGGTACGAATTTGTCCATAAATCGAATTGGATGGAATTTGTTTAAAAAACATTTGTTGTTGTTGTTGTTGTTGTTGATGTGATTGTGAATAATAATATTGTTGTTGTTGTAATGTATTATTATTATTATTATTATTGGCTATTGTTGAAAATGTTGTTGTCGATCCTAATGATGGTGATGGTGATGATGATGATGATAATGAAAGATGTAATGCACGACGTGATACCGACGTGTTATTATTAATACAATTTGTTTGCTGTTGTTGTTGTTGTTGAAATTGAAAATTTGGATAAGTAGAATAATTAATTCCGGAAAATTGTTTTAAATGTTGTTGTATATTTAAACCATTCATATTTTGGCCAAACAAATTATTATTTGTATACATTAATCTTGATTTGGATTGTATATTTGCCATATGTAATTGATCTTGACTATTACTTCGACAAATATCTGTTGATTGTTGATTTAATGATGGTGGTAATAAACGATTATTATTATTATTATTATTATTTAATAATGGAGTTTCATAAATTGTTTTGGCATAATGTTGATATTGTTGTTGTTGTTGGCTAATTGGTACATTTGGCAATGGACGTTGTTGTATTTGACTATTTGACAAATAACAATTTGTATTCATTGTTGAAGGAAAATAATTGATTGTTGGAATTTGTTCTTGTTCTTGTATTGGTTTGGTTAGAAAAAGCTATATTTTATAAAATGAAATCAAAAATCAAGTTAGAAAAATTTCAAAGTCAAGAGAAAAATCCAAAAATACTTTTTCATAATTTTCAATCAATAATTCGGCAATAACATTTACAAATTTTATATCCATTATTGCAGCAACAGATTCTTCAGCTGTACGTAATAATGTTGGACCAAAACAAACACCAAGATTTGATGATGTCATTAGATTTTTATCATGTAATTTGGCAACTCTAGTTTATAAATTTGAAAGAAAATATTCAATAGAAAGCTTAAACAAAGAAGGGTGAAAAAAAAACATACTTTTGAAGATGTTCAATAAGAATTTTAAGCACCTTAAAATTAATCGGTGGTAAACGATGAACAAGTTGATGTATTTTTTCAATACGTAAAGCTCGATTTTCTAATTCTAAGGAATTTACAAAAAATGTAAAAATAAGTACAAAAAATCACATAATAATACAAAATACATACTTGCAGCTGTTATAAATGAATTATGTAATTTAAATGTCATAATTGGTTCATTTATATTACGTAAATAATTTTTTAAAGCACTTGTTAATGTTTTTGTTTCAAATTCATCCGTATCAATATTAAAATTTGGTAATAAATCAATATTATCATCATCATCATCATTATTTTGATCTGTAATATTTTCATTCGATTGTTTTGATTTTATAAACATATCCATTAATGTACGTACACGACTTGCAACACCAACCATACGATAAATACCTTTTTGATCTAAACCATGTAATTCAATTGTTTTTATACATTTTTTTATAAACCAATAACCATTAATATCTAATTGATATGTTTCATTTGTATGATTATCAATATTATTTTTCATATTATCAATATTATTATTATTATTATTTGATTTATTTGTATTTTGTTTATTTGATTTTGTAATATTTATATTTACTGGATATGGATCACGTGCATTTAATGTTTCAAGCCAATATTTATAATCTTCTTCCGATATTGATTGAAATGTATAAATAACAAATTGTTGTGATGATAAATCATTTGTTGTTGTTGTTGTTGATGATGATGAATTTATTAAATTTATAGAATGTTTTTGGCCAACCGCATTATTATTACTGATTCCATTATTATTACCACTACCATTTGTTGTTATAGAATGACCAGAATGATGATTAGAATTTGATGATAAATCAGTTTGTGCAACAATATCAAAACAAAAACGTCTATCAATTGTATCTTGATTTCTTTTTATACATTCTTTAACAATAATTTCATCTGTTGATATAATTTTACCAGTTGTCTGTGTATATTGTATTAATTTTAAATGTTTATTTTGTTTATTATATTTACAAAAATGTTTTGTCCATGAGGTAGTGAATGCTTCTGTTAAAATTTATAAAAAATAAAAATTATTAGTTTTGAATTTTAAAAATGATAATAATGATAAGAAATACAAACTTTTTTCCATTAAAAATAGATAACCTTGACGGGTAAATGTTTTCTGTAATGAACATGAATCTTGAAATTTTTGTCGAAACTTGATTGATAGATAAGAAACAAACAAATGAATAAATTGATTAACCAAAAAAAATGATAGCTTACTTTTTCCTGATTATCAAGCATTTTTTTACGTAATGATTTTGTTTCTTCTTGTGTCATATTAAAATTATTTCTTGTACGTTGTAAACGCATTTGTAATTCCATTTTAACTGAATAAAAATCCGTTGCAATTTCATGTCCTTGATGATAAAATGTTAACCAACCAAGCATAAAACTAAGTACTGTTTCAACAAATTCAAATTTTTTTCTTTCATTTACTTCTTGTAATTTTAAAACATATTCAGACATTGCTTTAAAAAAATGTTGTTGTTCCATTGAATTATTAGCATCAGCTTCCCATAATTGTGTTTCACTTTTCTTAACTGATAAATTTAAATAACGTTCTAAATTTTGACAATATTTTGCTGTTTCTTTTTCAAATTTTTTTTTCGCTTCTTTTGCACTACCAATTTGATCACGACGAAATCTTTCAATTGGTTCAAGAAATGCTTCATCAGCTTTTTCCAATAAACGATCACGTTCATCTTCGATTGTTGACAGGAGACGTGCAAAATCTTTAAATGAATTTGCAATAATCATTTCATCATCGGTTTGTGAATTACCGATACATTCAAAATTGAAATTATTTAATGTATCGGATAATGTACGTTGGGCACGGCTTAAATCTAGATTGAAAACAACAACAACAACAAAATATTAAAATAAAAATAAAAAGGAAAAAACATATTCGGTGAACATGAATAAAAAACATGTAAAAAAAATTTCCAGAATTTTCCAGAATATTTTTTTAAAAAAATAAAATAAAATAAATAATACATACTTCGAGCAGCAGCTATTAAATCTTTAATATCTTTTATTAAATGTTTTATAGCCGTATTAGTTAAATCTAATTCACGTTCATGTGCTTGTAATGTTTCACGAAAAAATGGCGAATCAGTTAGGCCATCAGTAAATTCTAATGGTAATAAACCCATTATTATTGATTAATGTTGATTATGTCTAATTTTGATTATCGAATTGTGATCAATAAATTTTCAGCAAATCTAAATAACAAACAAAAAATACAAAATGGGATGAGTAAAATGGATTTTTAGTATATAAAAAAAAATTATTATTAAAAACAACAATCAATGTAATGACATTATAACAACAACAACCAAAAAATCGATTTAAAAAACACACAATCTCATTACTGATTTTCATTGTTATTGTTATTGGTTTTTTTTCAAATTGATTATTATCATCATCATCATTAATTTAATTGGCAGAACAACAACAAAAGAACATTATGGAAAAGCGATTGTCATATGTGACATATGGGCAATAGAAAATCGAAAGAAGGAAAAAAATCAAATTAAAATTGGATTTTCCAATGGAATCAGAATTTATTATTCGTAATTTTTCGTATATTGACCATATATTTAAACACACAGCAGAAACAAACAACGAAAACAAAAATTCAATTTAAACGAAAAATTCTCTCTCGGTGTGTAAATATTAATTACCCGAAGGAAAAAAAACAAGATAAACGCCTATGTGTCTTGTGTAATATCAAAAACAAACAAAAATTTCATCATAAAAAGTAGGGTGTTTTTCATGAGTTTCCAAATTCAATTTTCCAAACAGAAAATTGCCCGAAACCAACCAAAAAAAAAAAAAAGTTCAAAAGGTTAAATCCTAAAAAACTTAGCAAAACCCAAAATACAGCCGACAATTTTCGGTTGATAAACAAACATTACATAAACCCTGAATAACCTTCAATCCTCGTAGATAGAAAAATTGGAAAGGAGAAAATTTCATCCGAAAAAAGCAAAAAACAACAACAGGATATGGTTACATCAACCAAAAAAGAAAAGATTGATTCGTTTCACCTTTATTTTACCAAAAACAAAACAAACAAACATTTAAAAAAAATATCAACTTTTCATGGATCATAAATAACCAAAAAACAACCAAACAGAAAAAATTTTCACCCGAAAAAATTCCTCTGTTGACCACCATATGTAACGAGAAAAAGAAAATTACCATCATTCATTCATTCATTCATTCGAAAAACAGCTAATATAAAATTCATTATGTTGTTTTCACAATTGGTTTGCTGGTTCAGTATATAAACAAAACACACACACACATTTTTTGTTGATTGGCTGATTGATTGATGGATTCTCTCTCTGGCTTTGCTTTCACTATATTTGAATTTTTAATCAAAACAAAAAAAAAATTCTTAAACAATTGAGAGGCGAGAATCGAGCGAACGAAGAAAAATGCATTGATCAACAAACCATGTCTTACATTCTGTTAACATAAACAAAAAACAAAAAATCAAAATTTTCAATACAGATTTTATTGGCTAAACTTTTGGTTAATCATCATCATGTTTGTTTGCTGTCCATCACACCAAATGATGAATAGAATGACAAACAGGGCCTAGGGTTCTTCTGGCATCGAAAACCAATCAAATAATTTCATGTTCAGAATATGCTGTTGCTGCTTGTAAACAAATTCAAAATAATCAAAAAAGCAAAGAGAAAATTAATTACAAATTCGGAAATTAATTTCCGTTATTCATTTTTTTTTCATTATAGAAAATTGATTTATAATGAAAAAAACACGAAAAAATTTGATGATTTGGGGGATGATAAAATACCAATATTGGTAGTCGTCGTTGTTGGCAAATGTGATCAATGTGTGTGCGAAAGTGTTGAAATAGAAAATTGAAAAGAATTTCACCATTTTCAGAAGAGGAATGTTTTGTTGATTTAACACTCAATCAATATGATTCATAGGAATCAACAAAAAAACAACTTCAAATGAGCAATGTTTTTTCGTTTGAAAATTTCAAAATTTTTCATTTTTTTTCAATCTGCTTAACAACATTGACAAATATTTTTGTTGATCAAATGTTTGAATGAAAATTTTTTCATTTCAACAAAAAAAAAATAGATTAACATCATCTAATGAAATGAAATGAATTGAATGCAACAAAATAACGGAAAAGAAAAAAGAAAACAAAATGTTGATTTGAAAGGTATTTTTTTTTATTTCAAACAAAAAAAAGAACACCCTATAATTTGTTAACTAGGATACAAAAAATTTTTTTTACTTAAAATCCAAATTGATAAACAAAAAACAAAACAAAAAACAATGATAAAATCGACGATTTTTTTCCTCTATACTGATATGATGATTATAATCAAAGGAAAAAACATACAGACCAAAAATCCATTGGATTTGCTGTTGTTGTGGATGAATCAGACAAACAAACAAACAGAGAAAAAAATAGTATACATCGATAAATATAGTGACAAATTTGACAACAACAAAACGAAAGAAATGAGGATAAATGCCGTCACACAAACACACACAAGGGATTTGAACAAAGCTGAAGAAAATGTCCAAAAAACAAACGAAACAAAATCCGGAAAATAAAATTGAGAACAAAACAAAACGAGAAACAAAAATCCAATCACAATCGATCACGCAAATCGATAATAATGATGATGATAAACCAAACGATCGTTAATCAATGAAAAGAGAGAGAGAGAAAGAGAAAATCTGAATTGAGGATTTGACAAAATGACAAAACAGAAAACAGAAAAAAATCAAAACAAAACAGAATTTTGCAAAAAAAAATGACAAACTAAAGTCGAAATAGTTGTTTATTTTTTCTTTTAAAAAAATGTGATTAAAATAGTCGAATTAATTACAAAAAAACAATAATGACATTTACCTGAATTTGATTCAAAACAAAAAACAAAACAAAAATTTTTTAAAATCATTAACACGTTGGCACACTGATGAGTGAATGAAATGAAATAAATAAATGATATGACCCGAAGAAGAAAAACAAAACAAAACAAAAAGATTGTCGAAATGATTTTATCATTCAGTGCGTGATTCTCTTTTGATTTGGAAATAGAAAAACAATGTTAAAACAATGTTATTTGAAAAAATTATCGGATTTCTTTGGTATCTCGGTGTGTGTGGAAATAGCGATAGAATGAAAGAATGTTTGTGACATTTTGATTCATCTTGATTCATTAAATGTTTTTTTGACATTCAAGAATTGTTGTTGTATTCATATTCAAATTTTTCAACCCCGATGATGATGAAATTGTTGTTTTGTTTTAAATTTTTCATTAACTCTTCATTACTACAAATTAATTAATAATAATGATGATGATTTTCATCAAAATGATGAATGTTATTCAGTTATTAAATTAATGCTTATTGTTTGATTACAAAATTAATTAATTTCGAGTTAATGAGAGGAGGGGGGCGAAAAACTTTCATTAATGAAACACAGAGAAAAAACCGAATTGATTCAATTACGTCATCGATAGAAAGAAAAATTCTTCAAAAAAAATCTGGTGGTGACTGGTTGATTGATTAACCAAGGACTAGCACTATAGGGTATACTTTTTTGCGAGCAAAAATCCCAAACAAAAAAAATACAGATAAATCACTGGACAAAAATGAAAAATTTCATCATTTTTTCCCCCGAAAAAAATGAAAAATGAAAAAATAACACTGAGCACCACACTAAACATCAAACAAACAAAAATATGTGGCAAACTAAACTAAACAACGAACAAATGTGAAAATATATGCAACGAGAACGATTGATAGAAACGGAAAAATATATCTTGATTATTATCGGAATCAAATATATAAAGCTTTACTTTTCGATATTTTTCATTCGCACTTACCCAGTATAACGAGAGAGGGAGAGAGAGAGAGGTTTATTTTTTTTTCTTGTTAATAATGATGATGACCACCATTCGAAGAAAATCATACATACATACTCACTCAAAAAGAGAGAAAAAGATACGCTTGTTGTTGTTCTTATGTGTCGATAATGATGATGATGTTTGCTTGTTTGATGTTTGGCAACTAGTTCTAGGTTCTATTTTTTCTTATGTACATGGTTACCGAAAGAAGAAGAAGACAAGAAAAAAATGCGTGGCATGGTGGTTGATCCAACATACTTTCTGTATGTGTGTGTGTTTAGTCTATGTAAGTAAATGATGATCACCGTAGTTTCTTCAAAATGATGATGATGATGATGGAAAAAAAACAAGTTGCGCTAGCTATATAGATTCATTCCAAATGATGATGATGATGAAAGAAAAGAATGCGAAAACAAGGATAAATATAACTATAGTGATGATTATTTTTTCTGTTTTCGTTTCGTTTCAAGTCAGGTTAAGTCTCTCTCTCTTCTTATTTCTCCAATTGGATCATTTCGAACGAACGAACGAACGAACATCAACAATAGAATTTCTTTTCATAAGTTGGAGCCAAAACAACTAAACGACTATTCAGTTTTTTAGTTTTAGTTTTAGTTTTCTCTGTGTAAAAAATGTATATAGTTAAATTTATTAACAGATTTTTATACCACTACTACTGTTAGTTAGTATACTACTACCTACTAAAATAAGTTGAAATGAACTATTTTTCAAAAAAAAATAGTCAAAAATCAAAGAAAATAGTTTTAAAAAAAATTTATTTAGTCAAAAATTGAAATTAGTCATTTTTAAAATAGTCAAAAAAACCAATCCGATTTAAATATCAAAATGATGAATCGAATCAGAATTTTGTTCGATTATGATTATCGACGATAATTTTATCAACCAAAACATTGTTTTTATTGGTATTATCGTTGTAGTTGTTGTCATTAATCATTTTCAATCGATTTGTACAATCATTCTGTAATAATTGAATTTTAAAAAAAAATTTAAAATGAAAAACAGGATTTTGATAATTGATTTTTTTAGTTTTTACCATAATTTGTTCGGCCAACATTACAAATGAATCACGATTCATTTGTAATAATAATTGTAAACGAAACCAAATTGTAAAATTTTTTGGTTGTAACCAACATTTTAATAATGAATCAATTACAAATTGATTACAAATATTCCATTTTGGTTGTAATGAATATTGATAAATACATTGTTGATTGATACGATCAAATTCATTGGGAAATATATCAGGCTATAAAGGAGAAAGAAAAATTAATTTTTTTTTCATTAAATCAACGGAAAAAAAATTTACCGGAATAAAATTAGCACGAATCAAATGTGGACGTGCACATTGATTAAACGTTGTGAAAAATTGTTCAATCGAAATTGATTGTTGATTTTCTTTGTTGATATTGAAACATTGTTGTTGATATAATTGTAATAATCGTTGTTGTTGTCGATATAATCGTTGATCATTGATTTGATTAACATTTTTACCATTAGATGATACTGTTACTATTAGAATATTAATGATAATTACAATTATTTGTAACGAATCGATAATTTCCATTTTGTTTCTTCGATTAATTTCATTTTGCAGAATATCGCCATTTTTATATCAAGGAAATGCGATTCAGAATGATCTGTGTCAGCCAAATGTGCCTGTATAAACATTTGATTTTATAAAAAGAAAATGAAATTTTCATATTCAAATATTTAAACAGCTTACCTTTTGAACAAAAAAAATTTTTTTTTCAAATAAAAAGTGAAAATTCATTTCAAAACAAACAAAACATAATGGTAAATTTCCCGAGAAATTTTACAAAAAAAAATTTTGAGTAAAGAAATTTTCTGAGAAATCGAATCAAAATCGAAAATCTCATCGAACACACACATCACACATAACATTGTTGACGTGACGTGTCTTCGGCCAAAAAATACCGACAAAAAACGAAAACGAAAAAAGTCAAAATTTTCAAACGAAAAGATTAATCACCGGTATTGTCTTAAAATCCGAACTAATCTAATCAATAATAATTACCGTTTGTTTGTTAAATATAAATCGAAAATGATGATGACGAATCTAACCATATTCAAATCGAAATCTATCGCTATTTGGGCTCTAATTTCTATTTGTTGTTTTGTAAATATTGTTCATTCATATTTTCTTGTGATAGATGCACATGGTGAAGAATGTTTTTTTGAACGTGTTGCATCCGGTACTAAAATGGGATTAACATTTGAAGTTGTTGAAGGTGGTTTTCTTGATCTTGATCTTTCCATTGTTGGTATGTTTTGATGATGTTTTTTGATAGCGAAAAAAAATGACTGAAATTTTTTGTTTCTTTGATTTTTAAAAGGTCCTGATCATAAAGAAATTCATCATGAAGAACGTGTATCAAGTGGAAAATATACATTTGCTGCACATATGGATGGTGATTATCAATATTGTTTTGGTAATAAAATGTCATCAATGACACCAAAAGTAGTAATGTTTTCAATGGATGTTGAAGAAAAAGCTAAACTTGATACAAAAGATGGTCAACATCATGATTCATTAGCATCAGCATCAGGTTCATCAGGATCATCAAATACAAATGATCATAATAAATTAGAAGAAATGGTTAAAGAATTAACAAGTGGTCTTTCATCAGTAAAACATGAACAAGAATATATGACTGTAAGGGATCGTATTCATCGTCAAATTAATGATTCAACAAATTCACGTGTATTATTATGGGCTTGTTTTGAAGCATTATTATTGGTTGCAATTACATTGGGACAAGTATTCTATTTGAAACGTTTTTTCGAAGTCAGAAGAGTTGTTTAACCAAATGAAGAACAAAATATATATTCATTCATATAAAACCAACCAACCAACCAACTTAACATTTTTCATTTCAAAATCAATCAATTTCTTATTTTTTATTAACAAAAAATGATCGGTTTTTTCCTTTTAGTGTTTATATTATTAATTACACACACACACACGACACTCATTTTCTTTTCATTTTTCAAAAAACAAAGAATTTTTCTTTCAATGAATAAAAAAAAATGTCATTTTAAAAAAAAAAAATACTAATTATTATTCATCAAACTTGCGAAAAGAAATTATTATTCTTTTTTTCCTTTTCACGAATCATTTGCATATGCATGGGCGTAGAATCTTGTAATGCGCATGTTCGGATCGAATATTTTTTTGCATTCGAATTCCTATTTTTTTTCTGTTGGTGGTGGTGGATTATTCGATTCGGTTGATGGTGTTTTTTGATGGTGAAATATTTTTTTGATATTTGATTTCGGTGTCGATGTTACATTACTTTTCATTTCGATTGTGACACAAACAAACAAAAATCAAATGCTAACAAGGTTTTTTTTCTGATTTGTTCGTTTGAAATTTGAAATTTGATTGTTTTTTTTGTAATCCTTTTTGATCATTTTTTGATCATCTTTGATTAAAAGTCATCGAAATTTTCAAAAATCAACCAAAAAAAAGGAAGAAAGAAAGTGGTAAGTTAAACATCAAATTCATTTGATGAGATTCTAATTTCATATATGCAATTTGAAGAGAATGAAAAAAAATTTCCCAAAAAGAATTTTAATTACTATTAAACATTTTTGAGCAAAGAAAATCTGTTTAAAAATAGAAATTTGAACTTTTAAAAAAATATTGATTGATTATTAGAAAATCTAGATCGAAATTCTTATTTCGATTTAGGTTTTTGTCAAATTTGTTTTTGTCAGCCGAAAAACAAAAAATCCAAATGATCATTACGGTGACGATAAAATTAGACATTTTTGTTTGTTTTGCCACCGAAAAAACAAAAATTTCAACATGTTTGTTATTAAATTGAGAAACAAAAAATAGACATTATAATTTAATGGCAATCAGCATTCATCAAGTTAGAAACAAAAAAAAAAAAAAAACAGCGAAATTCTAATTTTGGAAACTTTTCAAAACAAAACAGAAACAGAAAAACATTCTTCTGAAATTTTCTAACCTAACATATTAGAAGAAAAAAAGACGTCGATGCTGACAAAGTCTAATGCTCTCCTACATTATTACAGCATTTTTTTTGTTGTTGTTTTTTTTCTGCTGAAAAAAAAAATTCAAAAAAGAATATTCATATTACGCCAACAACAACAACAACAAAAACAAATGCAATTTTGATTGACGAAAATAGTTTTTTCTTTTACCCGGGTACAATCCGGTTAGCAAAACAGAAACAAACAAAAAAAAACCTGATGATGATGCCAATCTTGATCAGAATAACAAGAATATTCTTCTTGTGTTTGTTTGTTTGTTTGTTTGCTGTGTTTTGTTTGTAATGTCAGAATCAAATTTCCCCCTCTCTATGATGATTATAATGACGAAAAATTTCGGAAAATATCTATGAAATTTTCGTTTTATTTTTTTGGCATTGGATGATGCCAAGAAACCGAATAAAATAGATTTTTTTTCTTTGCTCGTTCGGTAATTATGTCTATCATCATTTTTTTTTTTTGAAATTATTATTACGATTTTTTGCCCAAAAAAATCATCGTTGCTGTTGTTGTTGTTGTTGTCGATCAAACACTAAAAGCATATCATTTTCAAACAAATCACCACTACGACAACAACAACGACGGTAATAATAATTATCCCTTTTAGCACAGAATTTACCATTTTTGTTCTGTTGTTTTTTCGGAATTTTCTGATTTCAATTCAGTTGTGATTCAGCCTGCCAAACTTGAATGTTTCGTTTTTTCGAAATTTTTTTTTTTGATTGTAATCAAACCATTCGTTTTGTTTATCGTTTCAGTTATTTGTCAAAGTCAAATCGTTTTCCTAGATTTTTTTGTTTTTTCTTTGATTTGAATTTCAACAACAACAAAAAAAACCCGAAGCAAAAAATGGTCAAACCATTGGCCGATGAAAAACCTCGTACAGGTAAACCGGATGAAGATGAAGATCGTATGACAAAAGATTTAGCTGAAGATGCTGTTTGGAAAAAAATGCAACAAAATACATTTACCCGATGGGCAAATGAACATCTTCGTACTGTTAATAAACATATAGCCGATATAACAACTGATTTTAGTGATGGTATACGTTTAATTGCATTGGTTGAAGTTTTATCTGGTAAACGTTTACCAAATTATAATAAAAGACCAAAAGTTCGTGCACAAAAAATTGAAAATGTTAATATTGCATTACAATTTTTAAAAAATGATGAAAAAATTCGTATCGTTAATATTGGTATAGTATTTTTTTAATTACTTTTTTAAAGAAAATTTTCGCTTCAATCCTTTCACTCTCTCTCTCTCCCTTTCTCTCTCTCTCTTTTGCTTTATAGATAGTATCGATGTTGTTGATGGTAAAGTAAAATTAATCTGTGGTGTAATGTGGACATTAATTTTACATTATTCAATATCAATGCCAATGTGGGAAGGTGAAGATGAATCAATGTATAAAGAAAAAGGTGGTCCATCACCTAAACAACGTTTATTAGCTTGGATACAGAATAAAGTACCCGATGTACCAATTAATAATTTTACAACCGATTGGAATAATGGTATTGCACTTGGTGCATTAGTTGATGCATGTGCACCTGGTTTATGTCCTGATTGGGATAAATGGAAACCAAATGAATCATTAAAAAATGTACAAAATGCAATGAAAACTGCTGAAGAATTTCTTGGTGTTGCACCATTGGTTACACCAGAAGAAATGATTAATCCAAAAGTTGATGAATTATCAATGATGACATTTTTATCACAATTTCCTAATGCAAAATTAAAAGATTCAGCACCAACAAAACCAAGACATAATCCTAAACGTGTCCGGTGTTATGGACCTGGTATACAAAAAACTGGTGTTACAAATGGTGCTAAAACAAATTTTACTGTTGAAACATTTAGTGCTGGTGATGGTGAAGTACAAGTATTTCTTGAAGATCCAAAAGGAAAACAAACACCTGTTGATGTTAAATTTAATGATGATGATGCAAAAACCTATACCTGTACTTATACACCAAAAATGGAAGGAAAACATAAAGTTATTGTCAAATATTCAGGTACTGAAGTACCAAAATCACCATTCGAAGTTGAAGTTAAAGGTAATCCAGGTGATCCGGCTAAAGTTAAATGTGAAGGTCCTGGTTTAAAACCAAAAGGACCACAAGTTGGTAAACAAACTTATTTTGATGTCGATACAAATGGTGCCGGTATTGGTCAGGTTGAAGTTGTTATAACTGATCCAAATGGTAAAACAAATTCAGTACCAATGCGTTTACGACAAGATGGTGATGATGAAAAGAAATATCGTTGTGAATATGTTCCACAATTACAAGGTCCACATCAAATTGCTGTGAATTTTGCCGGAAAACCAGTACCACAAAGTCCATTTAAAACTAATGTTGCACCACCATGTGATCCAAGAAAAGTACGTGCATTTGGTCGTGGTTTACAACCGACTGGTGTTCGAGTGAATGATATTGCTGATTTTCGTGTTACAACTGAAGGTGCTGGACCAGGTACACCAAAAATCAAAGTTATCGGACCTGAAGGCAAAGAAGTTAAATGTACTATACTTAAAGCTAAAGATGGTTTTACTTATAATTGTGATTATAAACCATTAAAAGAAGGAAAATATATTGTTGAAGTTTCATTTGGTGATCAAGAAATTTTTCAAAGTCCATTTGAAGTTCAAGTTGGTCCATTAATCGATAGTAAAGTTGTTGCATATGGTCCCGGATTAAAAGGTGGTATTGTTGGTTATCCGGCTAAATTTACTGTCGATACTAATGGTGAAACAGGTACATTAGGATTTTCAGTTGAAGGACCATCATATGCAAAAATTGAATGTAATGATAATGGTGATGGATCAGCTGAAGTTATTTATCATCCAACTGCACCCGGTGAATATGCAGTTCATATTACTGTTGATGGTGAAGATATACCTAAATCACCATATTGTCCAATTATTGTACCGAAAACTGATTTCAAACCTGAATTAGTTACAGCAACTGGACCAGGATTAAATCCAAAAGGTGTTGTTATTGCACAACCAACTGAATTTACTGTTGATACTAGAAAAGCTGGTGGTAAAAAGATACCATTAGAAATTTCTGTTATGGATAATACTGATTATCGTGAAGTTGAAACAAAAATTACCGATAATAAAGATGGTACATATAAAGTTAAATATACACCAGATAAATTGGGTAAACATACTGTACAGATTAATTATGGTGGTCAAGCTGTTGCTAAAAGTCCTTATCGTGTTGCAGTTGGTGGTGTTGCTGATCCATCTAAGGTATTTTGTTTGGATATTGATTACCAAAAAAATAAATTCAAAAAATTTTTTTTTCTTGCAAACTAGATTAAATTATATGGTCCTGGATTGGAAAAAGGTGTTAAACCGGGTAAAACAACACATTTTATTGTTGATGCACGATCAGCCGGTTCAGGTGAATTAATTCCACAGATTAAAGATGAAAAAGGCAATGATGTACCAACTGCTGTTACTGATCATCAAAATGGACAATATACTGTTGAATATACTGCCCCGAATCCAGGCAAATATAAAGTTAATGCTACATTTGCTGGTAAACAAATTCCTAAATTACCTGTTGATGTTAATGTAACACCAGCTGCTGATGTATCGAAAGTAAAAATCGAAGGATTAGAACCAAGTAAGTTTTTAAAAAATTTTGAATTTTTTCATTTTTTAAGATTAACATTTGACGTGAATCATACACCCGCAAAAATACATTTAGTGATTAGCTTTTAGCTTTTTCGTTACTAACCAAAAATAATTTCATTTGAGGCTTTAAAATTAGAATTTTAAAACAAACAAAAAAAAAATCTGAAATTCAAAAATATATCACAAAAAAATTCTACAAGAACCTTATTGTATGAATTCTATGTTTTCATGTTGTTGCATATGGTTTGTTTCATCAATCAATCAATCAATCAATCAAATATCGATTTTGAACAACAAAACAAAAAAAATAATCCATTCCAAAGTAATGATGGTTAATTCAATGAAAACATTTCGTGTATTGATTGGACCTGGATGTAAACAATATGATGATGTTTCAGTTATTATTGATGAACCAAATGATTATCCTGTATCATCATCATCATCGATTAATGATAATATTCGAACAACAACACCAAAAATCAGTATATTACCAACATTAACTGTTGCACCTGGTGGATTTATTGTTAATTTTTTACCAAAATTAACTGGTACATATCAGATTAGAGTCCTATTGAATAGTATTAATATACCTGGATCACCATATTCAATTGAAGTATTACCATTACCAATATTACCAATGATTACTGATGAAGATTATCAAATATTATTTGATCAACAACAAGAACAAACTAAACAAATTAATGCTTATGGACAAGGTCTTGGTCCTGTTTGTTATGTAAATCAATTATGTCAATTTGTTGTCGATTTAAAACAAGTACGTAGCTATGATATTGAAGGAAATTCATCATCATCATCATCAGCTCCATGTATTACACGAATCAAAGTTATTGTTGAAGGACCATCACATGCAGCAATTTATTGTAAAGATAATGGTGATCGTAGTTGTTCAATTGCATATATACCAACCAAAATTGGTATATATTATATATCAGTATTATATAATATGTATCATTTACCTCAATCACCATATCGTGTTGAAATCATACAAGAACGTGATAAATTTCAATCATATGATGATGTTATGAAATCAACAACAATTAATCGAAAATTATATCATCATCAACGACAACCACAACGATCAAAATCATTTAATTCATCAATTCAACAAAGAAATATTCTTTATTGATTATGAATAAAAACCAAAAAAAAAAACACCAAAACCAATACAAAATATATTCTTATCCATTTATGTATGTATTGATAATATTATCTATATTTTTTATTTTTTATCTGATTTTATCATCGTAATTTGTTGTTGTTGTTCTTGTTGTTGTTGATGGCATGCATTGCTTGTGAAATATTTTTTTTCACTAACCGTACTACTACTACTTCCGATTGGTATCGATCAACAACAAAATCCCCCCAAAAAAAACAAAAAAAAAAGTTTTTAAAAAATCTTTGCCAACCAAAAAATTCTATTCATTATTCCATTTATAAAACAGATCAATATTCATCTTGTATCAACAGTTTTACTGTTAATGCACAAGGAACAGAAAAATCTGGTGATGGTAAAATTTCCTGTACAATTCGTTCACCAACTGGTAAAAAAATACATAATTCAGTTGAAAATAATAATGATGGTACATATAAAGTTAAATATATTCTACCTGAAGAAGGTTTGTTTGTTTTTTGTTTGTTTGTTTTTTGTTTTTGTTTGGTTATTGTTAACTGAATAATTATTAATTCAAAAAAATAGGCGAATATACATTTGATTGCAAATATGATGATAGTCAAATACCTGGTATGCCACAAAAAATTAAAGCCAAAGCTGGTTTTGATCCGAAAAAAGTTAAAGTATTTGGACCCGGTATTGAAAAAGGTTATGCTAATCAACCAAATGAATTTACTGTTGTTACTGCTGGTGCTGGTAATGGTGGTTTAGGTATTGCAATTGAAGGTCCATCTGAACCAAAAGTTACCTGTATTGATAATCGTGATGGTTCATGTACTGTTCAATATATACCGGATGATCCAGGAAATTATAATATTGCTGTTAAATTTGGTGATCAACAAGTACCAGGTAAATTAATATGAATTATTGGATTGTTTGGGTTAAATTTTTTTTTTTTTGCTCAAATATATAGGTAGCCCATTTAAAGTACCTGTTCAAGGTGAAGTTGATGCATCAAAAGTTACAGCATCTGGTCCTGGTGTTGATCCAAATAATTGTCGTGCAACTGATTCATTATCATTTAAAGTGAATGCAAAAAAATCGGCTAAAGCACCGCTTGGTGTTGAAATTAGTACCGATAAAGGTCCAATTGCGGATAAACCAATTATTAAAGATAATAATGATGGTACATATGATGTCAGCTATAAACCACCACCAGAAGGTAGTCCATGTAATGTTAAAGTTACTTATGGTGGTAAAGATATTAAGGGCAGGTATGTTTTTTTCTTTTTTTCTTTCATAATTTATTGAAATAATTATTTTCAATCAAAAAAAATATATAGCACATTTAAAATGCAAGTGAAAAAGAAATCCGAACCAAACAAAGTAAAAATCAGTGGTTTAAAGGAAAAAGTTCCGGCAAGTATTCCGGCTGAATTTATTGTCGATACCAAAGATGCTGGTATTGGTGATTTACAAGTGGCTATTATGGTATGTTGTTTTTTTTGGTATTTCATTTATTCAAATTGCTATTTTTCATTAAAAAAAGAATCCAAAAGATAAAGGAATTCGTTATTGGAAAACCGATTTCAAAGATGGTACATACAAAATTACTTATATACCGGAAGATATTGGTGAACATAAAGTTGTTGTTAAATTTGATGGACAAGAAGTTGCACCACCAATCAAAGTAGATGTTACACAAACTGGTGATGCTAGTAAATGCAAAATTGTCGGTATGTATTAATCATTCATTGATGTTCTTATTTCAAACTAATAAAAAATGTTTTAAAAGATGGTGAATTAAAGGATAAATGTAATGCCAATGAAGAATATACAATAAAAGTTGATGCATCACAAGCCGGTCCTGGATCATTAACCTGTAAAGTTACACGTGTAACATCATCATCCGAAAGTAAGGAAACTGTTACGGAAAGAATTGAAACAACACCAACTGGCGGTAAACGTTTGATTCGTGAAACAAGACGTGAAACAAAAACACAAACTGAACGTGAAACACAGGAAAATATTGATTGTAAAGTTGTACGTAATCCGGATGGAACTTATAGTGTTAATTATAAAGTTAAACAACCGGGTAATTATACAATCGAAATGAAATTTGGTGGTCAACCAATACCTGGTGGTGTACTTCAATTTACTGTTGATTAGACAAAAATGAAAACTAACCCCAATGTTATTCGGAATGTAACGTTCTTTTTTTTCTAACCCTTTCTTTGTTATTTTACCGAATATAATGAATATACTAATATTATTATTATTAATCAAATAAAATAAAATTATTAAAACAGTTCAAATTAATTATTATTATTCATTTATTTATTTATTTTGATTTAATCAAACATCAGCAGCCTGTGAACAGGAAAATTCATTGTTTCAAATGAAAATGAGAGAGAGAAAGAGAGAAAGAAAAAACGTACATTATCATACGATTTGATAAAATCGATTTTCATATTATAATCATATAATATAATATAATTAATAATAAATTAACACAGACAATAGAGAGCAAGAGAAAAAAAAAGAGAGAATCAAATCTGCAAAAATGATTGTTGTTGAAAATAAAATGTTTTTAAAAAATAAAATGTATGTAATAGACTTATAGTGTGTATGGTGTGTATCAGTCTTGTGAATGGATAAAAATTAAAAATGCATTTCTATTTCGGTAAATATGGATTGACAGAAAATTCAGAATTTCAGAAAAAAAACAACAAAATTAAATAAAAATTTGCCGTTGGGAAAAAAAATTTTTTAAAAGATAAAAATTGGGAAAAAAATTATTAAAATTAAAAAAGGTAAAATCTTGAATGAATAAAAATCAAATTCTAATTTGAAAAATCAGGTAAAATGTTTTCATTTTTTTTCTTCTTTACTGCATTTAAAAAAGGAATTGATTTTGTTAGTGTATTTTTTTTTAAATAGCCCAACGATAAAGGATAATGATTGTAATGATGATGATGATGATGATGATGGGGATTATGATAATGATGACCTACAGAAAAAAAAAATAATTTGAAAAAAGCCAATCTGCTCCAGTAATCCTTTCCAATTCAAATTTAAAAATATTTTAGTGTTTTTCATTAAAAACCATTAGCAGCAGTAGCATTTTCCGAATCTTGTGATTGTTGTTGTTGTTCAGTCTGTTGATGAATAACATTACCATTTGTTTTGGCAATAGAATATGCTAATAAATTATCATAATGTCCATTTGTATTAATCATATGACCATTAGTTTTTAAATTATTATTATCACTATCATCAACATCATTGTTTCCATTGCCATTAGGAATTGGTTTCAATGTTGTTGTTGTTTCAAGGCTTGAATCTGATGATGATTGTAATTGACAATTACCACCATGTTGTGATTCAATCGATGATCCTCCTGTCGCCGATATTGAATCATCATTTTCATTATTTTTATTATTATTATTTGGACTTTTACTACCAGAATCATCTTTACGTGTTCGTCCTTTTAATATTTCTTGAATTCTCTATTTGTTTTTAAATGCAAACCAAAAAAGTAAAAATTATAATCATTTCATTCATGATAATCAAATATTTTATTACCGATTTACGTTTCATACGTTCCATTTCATGTTTTTTAAGCATTTCATTTTGTCTTTCTTCAATCTTATCCGATGTTAATATAGTATTTGTTGTTGTTGTTGTTGTTGGTGATAATATTTGCTGTTGTTGTTGTTGTTGGGCAATACCAGCCGGTGATGTTGAATGCATCAATGATGAATCAAACGATGTGTTCATAATATTCGGCTGTAAAATCATTTTATCAATGGTACCACCATTTTGTATTACCGAATCATCACATGTTTTTTTCATTGTTGATGATTCTTCTTTTTTTTAAAAAAAAATCAGAAAAAAATTAATCCTAAATAAGTTAGATTTTTTTTTTTGTAAAAATATCAAACCTTTGATTGACATTTGTTTGACTGATTGTTCCAATTCTGAAATTGATCGATCAGTATTGGATGATGATGATATATCAATCAATAATGATTGTGGTTCACCAACATCAGTGGTATCAACAATTTTTGATTCATCTTTTTGTTGTTGAACCATTGTTGTTGTTGTCGTCGTCGTTGTATCAATGGAAGTGTCTTGATCTAATGAAGACGTATCACTTGAAGACGATGACGACGATGATGATGAAGATGATGATGATGATTTATTGTTTTCTTGTTGTTCTTTTGATTTTTCTGGTATAATTACTGCTGGAATTTCCATATCTGTTTGTTGTTGTTGTTGTTGTTTTTCTGCAGCCAATTCATCAGCTAATGATCGATTTTCTCGATTATTCGAAACCATTGCTGCTGCTGCTGTTGATGATGATATTATTGTTGATCGTGGACGACGTATTACAACAGCCGGTTTATTATTGCTACTATTACCACCACTATTAGTGGTATCCGATTTATTATTATTATCATCATTTTCTTGATTCATATTATCATTTGATGATGATTTTGTCATTGATTTTGTTATTTGATTTAATTTTTGTTCCTGCATTTTACGATATTGAGCACGTTTTTCAGCTAATTGTTTTTTATATTCAGCCAATTTATCATCATTATTATTATCTTCTTTTGATTCACCACTTTGAAATGGTGATTCAAATATAGGTGATGAAGAATCTATAAACGAATAACAAAGGGTTAACGAAAAACAATTCTTCAATCCAAACAAACAAACACTAAAAATTACCTAATTTCATTGTGTCAATTTGTTGACTTAGAGGACGTGGTTTTTTATTCGATCTTGTCGTTGTTGTTGGTGTAGATCCTTTTGCAGTATTTTTTGCACTACCACTTAAATTCGATGAAGATGTTGATGTTGTAAATGTTTTCGGTGGTGGAGTTGGTTTTGAGCTGCTGCTGCTGCTGCTATTAGCTACATTTACTGATCTATTCATTGCTGTAGTGGGAGTTGATGATGATCCAACACTACTTTCAGAAGCTTTACCTTTAACAAATGATGCTGACATTGGAACTAGATTTTTGAATTTAGAAATTTGAATAAATTTTCAACTATTTTCAATTTACCTTTTGGCTGTACACGTTTTCTTGGCTGTGCCAATTGATCCAAACGATTCATACTATAAGATTTTTTTGGCCGTCCAGCTAAACCACCAACACCACCATTATTACCACTCATCATTGTTGTTGGATGTTTTGATTGAAATGATTTTGTCGATGTCATCGAACATGTCATAATGCTATTCTCTTTACGAAATCCATTCCATGATGTTCCTGATGATCCTCCTGGTCCTGATGATGGTGCACCATATTCACGAAACAAATATTTTTGTTTAGCCGGAATTAATTCCGGATCATGACGTCTTGTAGCACGCATAAATGATGATGATGATGATGTTAATAATGATGGTGATAATAATGATGATGAACTTGTACTAAACAATGGTGCTTGTAATGGTTGTTGTTGTTTAGCTATAATGACCGGTTCTATCATTGTCGTAGCTGCTACTTGTTGTTGTTGTTGTTGTCGTTGCAATGAACTATCAAAACATTGAGGCGTCATATTATCCACTATAGCTTGTTGTTGTTGTTGTACAGTAGCTATAACTCGTTTCGAGCGATAATTATTATCATCTTTTGTTGATGGTGACGAATCTGTTTGTGTTTTTATTATTTGGCCACCACTAGATGTCGTTTTTGTTGATGATAATTCAAATGGTAATGGTACCGTTGTTGATGATGGAAATATTTCCGATTTTGGCCGTACAGGTAATAATAATGGTGTAACTAATGGCCTTGTTAAATCAATATTTCTTGGTTGTGTACTACCAAATGCAACCGATTGATTTGTACTATGTCCAGATAAAAATGGTTGTTCATTACTAACACCACCACCACGTTGACCACCGCCACCACCAAATGATGCTGATGTTGTCATACGATTCGGTATAAAATCATTTCCACCACCACCATGTATAATATTTCTCATTGAACTTTGTTCCAATTGACGTTGTGCTCGTTCCTGGTTATTTTGAATTTGAATTTAAAAATTTTAATAGAAAAAAAAACAAACAAACTTACCCTTCGAGCATCATCAATCTGTTGACGACGTTCAGCCGCATTATTTAATCGTTGATTTATATTCGAACGATTCTAAACAAAAATTTTCAATCAAAAAAAGAATTTTTTTTCGCCAAAAAACAAACCTCCATATTTGTGATTAAACGAAAACCACCACCACCGCGTTGATTAAGCTGTTGTTGCTGTTGACGTTGTGTTTGTGATGATAGATTATCTAAATTTGGTGGAAAATCGTAAAAAAATTACTTGGTAATCAAAATTTTAACACTAAAATCATAAACGCAAACGAAATCATAAAAAAAATAAAAATTAACAAAAAAAAAACGCAAAAAACAAAAATTCCAAACAAAAAAAAAGCAAAAGCTTAAGCCAAAAGCCAAAATTTTCATCATAAAACATAAATTGAAAATGAAAACGATAAAAAAAAAGGTGAAAAAAGGGTAAAACAAACGAAAAATTGTTTCAATTTTAATTTTCTCAAATCTAACCCGAACAAGATGTTGAATTACGTAGTTGTTGTTGTTGTGAATTGGATTGTAATGAAAATCTTTTAAAATTTTGATTTGTTGTTGTTGTTGATGGCGATTGTTGTTGTTGTTGTTGTTTTCGACGCATTCGTACAACAATATTATTTGTTGTTGTTGGTTTTGGTTCAATTGATTTTCTATTATTATTATTGTTAATTAATGATAAATCTTCAATTGTAACATCACTTTTTGTATCAAAATTATCATCATTATTAACTGAATATGGTAAACTACTATTCTGATTTGAATCAACAATATTATTATTATTATTTTCATTTGAACGATTTGTACGAAACATATCCATAAATTTACTATGATCAAATTGTTGTTGTTGTTGTTGTGAAATTTGTTGTTGTTTCTGTTGTTGTTGTTGTTGATTATTCCATTCCAAATAATCTAAATAAAATGAATTATTTTCATATTGATTATCAGATTTTTCTAAATTTGTAACAAAACAACGTTCATTTGTTGATTTTATTGATGATTTTAATATTGATTTTTTCGAATCATTTGATGTTTGTACAGGATATGAACGTAAACTTTGTTGAAAAGATTTCATTGTATCAGGATGATGTATTGCTGCAGTAGCAGAAGCAGATGATGATGAATATTTTGGCATCATCATCATCATTTTCATTTGTGTTTTTGAATTTTGTGTAGGTTTTGGTGAAATTTGTCTTTGATGATGAGCAGCAGCTAAAAGCGATGGTGATATTATTGTTGGTGCATTTCGCCATAATGGTGCAACAGAATCAATAGATTTATCGATTTGTTGTTGTTGTTGATTTGTTTGATTTGTTGAAATTATATTCATACGTTGTTCATTCATTATTCGTAAGTTTCTTTTGGCTCTTTTTGTACACAAAAAAACATTCAAAAATCTACATAAAGAATATTCTTTCGATATTCAATTTTTTTTTACAGAATTGATCATTTCAAAGCAATTTTTAATAAGCGGAAAAAAGAAAACAAATTGAATATTAGGCGGAAAAAAAGTGAAAGAAAGAAAGAGAAAGAAAAGATCAAGTTAGTTAATAGAAATAAGGTTTTTTTTTGGAAAAAAATCAATCAATCATATTGAATCCAAAAGCAGTGAGGAAAGCAAAATGAAATGCATAACATTAATTGAAAATTGATTAAGCTTTTGTTTTCATTAATAAAAATTTTCTTTCAAAATTCGTGCCACAACAAACTAATCACTACCGCACGCAATTTGATCCACAAAACAAAAAAAAAACAAAAAACACGTGACACGTGAATCACTTTTTTAGCATTTAGCAAAGCTAATATCAAATGAAAATAATTACCTTTTATTATTTTTTTCCCACTTGTAACGAGGATTGATTAATATGAAAATCCAGAGGAAAAAAATTTCAAGTTGAACAAAAAATTCACAATTCACTAAATCATTCAGTCATTCAATATTCAATGTAGGTGATGATAATGATAAACGATTATATCATCAATGAATATTCAATTCACCTTTATTGGACACAAGATTTGTCTTGTTTATCAGATCAAACAAACAAACAAACAGGGTGGGTGTGTGACAACAAATGGTCAAAGTCAAAAATGATGATGATGATGATGATAAAATTGCTGGATGTTTTGAATGTTTTCAATCAACAAAAAAGCTAACACAAACAAACACAGACTATATGTTCAAATTTGGAAATGTTTTCCCTTTCTTCTTTTCGTTTTTGATGATGAAAATATCAATATAAAACACACACACACACACTGAGTGAAAATATGGAATGATGATTACGATGATGATGAATATTTAAATTTGAATCAAAAAAAAAAATTCAGGTCATCATCCTCATCTTTTTCAGGAATTTTGTTGAATTTGAATTTTCTTCAGTCGATTTTCTTTATTTTTCGATGAAAATGATGAAAAAAATGCAGTGTTTCAGATGATTTTAGTCAAATGGCTCAGGTCAGATGTTAAATAAACGATGTTAAACACAGAGGAAAATTGTAATCCTAGTGCGAGAGAGGGAAGGAAAACAAAACGAAAAACTGAGATTACAACGTGCAAATCATAACTTAAAATTAATTAAATCAAATAAAATACAGAAAAAAATATGCAACAAAAAAACAATATGGTCATTTGAATATTAATGATCATATCATTCATATCCATATATCATAATGGATGTGTGATTGATTGATGGATGGATAGATGGATAATCGAAAGAAATGGAAAAAAAGATCTAAGAAAACATTCTCTGTATGATATCTTTGTTGTTGTTGTTGTTGTTGTTACATGCAAAACAACAACAACAACAAAATCCATCACACAACAATGATAATAATAATAATGATGTTTATATCATCATCATCATCATTGATGAATATTGATGATGATGATAGCAACAAACATCATAGACTAGACAAAACAGAAACAGAAACAATTCCTTTATTCAACAACAACAACAACAACAACAAAAAAAGGCCCGAAAAACTAGTAAAACTTTACAACAACAACAACAACAACAAATGATTTGATGACAAAAATAGATGTTCGATTTTTTGGATGTTTTTTTTGATGACTATGCGAGATTTTTTTCAACAAAAAAAAACGAATAACATTATTTATTTAATCCAACAACAACAACAAAACGACAACAACAACAAAGACATAAATCGAAAAGAAGAAAGAAAAAAATGTCGAAAACAACAAATAGTTATTATATAATGGATCATATTTTGGCTATTTTTACCCAATAGGTTTTTTTCCGAATCGGACAAATCAATTAATCATCATCATCATTATTATTTCAATCAATCAATCAAAATCCCGAAAGAGAGAGCGAGAGAGAAGGAAGATAGATATTTTAGCTTCTTTTCTTACGACGATGATAATGATGATGGTGGTATCTTGGCTTTTTCGCTTTGTTATGAAAATTTTAAAACAAAAAAAAAAATCAGACAGACAGGTAAACATCCACCTGAATATTGAATGATAAATGAATGAATGAATGGTGGTGGTTATGTAGAACGGGAATGATTTTTCGATATTTTTTTTCCTGTTCGGAAAATAATGATAAATTCTCTGTTTGCAGATGATTATGATGATGAAGGTCAAATCGATTGTAAATTGACCTAATCATCATCATTATTATTATTATTATTTTGATTGAAATCAATAATAATAATAATAATCGATTCGTTACGAATCATTGATTATCAATTATATAGATAGATAGATAGATGAAATTGCAAAATTACAACCAAAAAAAAAATCAATCGATTCCGATTCATGTTATACGCATACACACACAAACACAGAGAGACAGGATTTAAATCAATCAATCAGTCAATCAGCCAACAAAAAATCAATGAATCGACAAGAAATTAATTTCTAATTGAAAATTCACCTGTTACACCTGTTCATCACACATACACAGACACACACACACACCCTCATCATCATCATCATCATTTAAACAGAAAAAAAACCGCAATTCTATTCACAAAACACTAGAAAAACCAAACCAAAAATTATATGGTCATCAAGCAAAATCAAAAACAAATCAAAAGAAAACAAAAATCAGAAAAACAAAATCAAAAACTAAAAATCTAAAATCTAATAATGATAATAACTGATTACAAATGATACAAACACACACCTTATGCATTTATATTTATGAAAATGAAAAAAAGATGTTTAATTATAAGGTATAATTTACATTCTAAATGTATGGCTGTTTTCAAAACTAATTACAATGAAAAACATCTTGTAAATTTCGTAGTAATACACACACATTTGATATTGTGTCTATGATGATGATTTAGATTTTTTCTACTTTTTCCTGAATTCATGGACATTTTGCCATCATCATCAAATGAATGAATGAATCACAGACATACAGACAATATAAACAATGACAACGGCATAAAAAAAATCAAGAGAAAGTGAATAATAATGGAAATAGACATT